CCCCTTTTTTTTTTTTTTGGAGGGAGGGGGGATGTGTGGATTATATGGATATTAATAGGAGACTTGGTTTTTAAATTGGCTTAATTTCAATCGTCCTTCGAAAATTATGCCGACCCTGAGGTGGTATTTGACTCCAAGTGGACTCCCAATTTGAAGATAATGCGATAGTGCAGAGGCACGTACGGGTTTTCCCACCTACCAACCACCTCTATCTCTAGATATGTTGAAAAACTTCTGAGTAAATTAAAATTTTGCGCAATATATTTCCCTTTAAGATCCCCCAAAATAAAGTAAATAAATGAATATCTGATTCACGATATTAAAAATGGATTACACGCCAGAAATTGCAGTAAATTACACAAATAAGAAGCTGTTGTACCGGCTCGTGAAATGTACAAGCAAACGTGCGTGAAATGGTATATTGAACTGATATTCTACTCTATAGAGTTTTTCCGTTTTAAAAATGAATCAAAATTTATGATTGCTTTTTCGGCTGAAAAAGAGTGGGAAATTATGACGTGAGTAAATGACACAAATGTCACACTGTATGTAAAAGAAAAATGTAAACCGGCGACTAAAATAATATTTTGAAAGGAAAAAGTTAAAAGCGTAATTTATAAAACAAGGGAGACAGATAAGAAACAAAGAGTGCACTTACGGGTTGAAAGGTTTCTCCCGCAATGTACTACTCTCTACCCATCTTTCACTAGTTATTTTTTAACAAGCTCTATAGGGGTCCGATGCTGCAAGAAAAATGAATGGTTCTGGAATTTTGGATTTTGCGCTTTAGCTTTAGCTGTTTTTGAATACAAGAATAACTGAAGAAAATTTCTGCCACTTCGAATTGATGAACGAATGAAAATGTTGGCAAATTAACCAACGTAGAGCTGTTTCACTCACTTGTAATGGGAATTACGGGCAAAATGGCTTGCAATTGTTATCACAGGTACTCGTAACAATTTTATGAAAGAACTTAAAACTTACAAATATTTGAAAAAATTATAGCTGAATGGACTGGATTTAAACTGACTTTTTATATGGTTAAATAGGATGTTCATTATCTTAACATCTTGCTGTTTATTTAACTCTCATCAATATTGTGTTCATTTCCTAAATCGTAGCTTTGAAAAACGTAATGCACATTTTTAATCGACTTTAGGCTTTAAACATATTATAATTAATATTGAGAGAGAAAGTTGACTATTGTAACTTAGATGCAATTTATGATCCGTAAGTCATTGTTCGTAAAATACACACACTAAAGAAATTCAGGATTTAAATATATACTGTGCGTGCCTGAAATTTTTCCAAAGCCATATCTCTATGTCCATATATCCTGCAAAGCTTCCTATGACACTTATCTTTCCCCATTTAGTCCTTAAAGCGATAAAACGCCTCAAATAAAAGTAGGCATTCCCGACTTTGATAGTTTTTTTTCTGAAAGGCAAAGAAAGACAAGACGGCCTAAATGATTGTTCAAAATGAAATTATTGAATTAAATAGGGAATAAAACGCAGAATCCAAGTCCAGCCATGATTCTAGAGCAGAAGAAATCGCCTTTCCTCCCGAGGAAAATTAGCTTCGACCGCCAAATCTTGAATAGAGCTCCTCTAAGTTTGTTTTGCAGCTGAATAATGTGGACTGCAGACCCCCCCCCCCCCCCATTTTATTAAAGAGGTACATCTGATATACCTCTTGTTCATATGCAGCATGAATATCTATTTATTTATTCATTTGTTTATTTTTGTAGAAACATCATATACAAACGGGTTCTACTTGATATTGAACGGCCGTCAGGCCATTTACCGTATACTCCAAAAGACATCGTGTTGGTCCATGATATTCTTCATATTGCTTTGCGAGGGGGCTAGACAATTAAACTGATTACATTGACTGCGCCTTAAGTAGCGAGAATTCCTGCTGAGATAGATCGTTCCTGCTAGTACGAGGACTTCTATTCTGAGCACAGTCTTAGTGAACCTGAAATCACTGCGCCATCTATTAGCTTTATGGGTAAACACTGTTTAGTTCTTAAAATGCTAAACCAAAATGCTCAGCAAATACAGAATTTTAATCAATATCAGTGTTAAAAACGATTTAAAGGATATTCTCTTACGTTTTCCTTTCAGCATTTCCGAAGAATAAAAGCATTTTTAGAATATATGGTATTTGGTCAAAAAGGAGGAAACTCTCCTCCACAATGAAGCTCATTTTGTGAAATGTTAGAAAGCAAGAGCATTATGCACAACATTAATAAAGGAAAGTAGACTCAAAGAAATATTTTTTCAGTGGTTTTGTCTGCAATTAATATTATAAATGTGCGTTCAACTGTGGCAAGGAGGGCGTTTCCACTGAAATCCGTTACTGTCATATTACAATACCTGAACCAAGAACATCTGGTGTAGACCGTTTCAGTGACTGGATCCCTTCTTTATGTCGTACTGATTAAGTGAATATTTCATACTTACAATACATCATTGATGAATGCTGGCGTGGCATGGAACAAATTATATTAGAAATCCAGAAGAGTATATTTTCTTTTCTGGATTTACTCACATATTATTACGTACCAGTCTAGTCACGTAGGAGTGCTCAGTTCAAAATTTGTTAACTTTTAAAAATCATTTTTACGTTGTCTTAAAATTGACATACGTTACTTGCAACAATGGGCCTTTCTTGAAAAAGAAATCACCATTAAAAGATATTATAAATGTTTATTCATACAAATTTTCAAAATTCACTACATAATGGTTATAACATGATATCTATTAAACTGTATAGTCTGAATTCATAATAACATTTCTATATATCTATCTATACATATATAATACTGACCAAACCTACCGCAAAAATGACCTGTTTAATACAATTATTTGATAATCTACTGAATACTTTCGAGAAAATGATTTCAACATTTTAAGCCCAAAGTTGGCAGAGGAAAGTAAACATAAGGGCATCATGATCAGAGTGACCATTGTACCTAGCACACCATATATATATATAGAAACCCCAATTAAAGTTAAAAAGCTTGAAAGTTGTTACCAATTTAAAATAATCATATTTGCACTTAAAACGAGCAAAATGGTTGCTTATATTTTACCTATCAGTATTGTATTTGCCCTATACACAAATGGCATGTGATGAATAAGAACTTAACGATGCTTTATAGAAGCATGTTAGGATTATCTGTCGTATCAAGAATATATTCCATATTTGCTGGCTCTCTCTCCCAATGTAACATTTGATTAACTGATACACATGTATAACATGGCACTAAGACCATATAACACACAACTACATAATTACACAGTAGATGAAAAAATCTCTACACATAACATTTATATAATCTACAATTTTGAATTGAATTTGTGCTTGCATTACTTTTTACTTATAATAAACATTTACAACCCTCAGGTACTGACAGTTTTAATATTGTTGTCTTACCAAACCTGATGATAAAACAATGTTTCAAGTAAAAGTTATCAGAAAATCAGGCCGCAGTAAATCAGCTCCATGATATCGTGGAGAGGCACCAATCAAAATTAAAGACAGAATCAGATTTTAAGGAATGGCTACCAAGAAAAGGTGTCAAAATCCCTTGAACTTACTTTGCAAAAATTAAAAATTGGCTATTGAAGGAATTATTTAATATTCTGAGTATTCATTTCAAAAGTGCACATATTTTGTAGGCAGCAGAGTTATTTGATCAGCTCTCAGATTAAATTCCTCATTGAAAATTGTCTGTAACTGTTACATCCAAATACAGTGAAATTGTAAAACTTTATTTGCAAATGCTACCATAACAATGTAACGTTTGATAACCAAAATTAAAGCTGTTTGCAACATAACTATCAATTCTACACTTAAAAACTAGAATTTCAAAAATTTGAAGACAATCTTATCAACAGACAGGTAACTATTAAAACTGACTTTTGTTTCAATACCATTTACAGATCTGTTCACAAAATTAATCCTGCCATCCAGATTCCAGGGCCCATACATAGGATATGGCATACCTGGCAGGTTAATTGCCAATGCGCTATAAATACATCAATGCAAATTTAACCTCCCTAGAGTCACTATGTTAGTCTAATTAAGACTGATCTCCTAAAGGCTAAAGATACTTTTTTTGTATACACAAAATACAATAAACTGCTTGAATAAAATATTTTAATATATGATCTGCAATCTTCAAAGAAATCTGAAGTAAAATTCAAATAGAATTAAGAAAAAATACGGATAATTAACCCCACAACTTAAAACACCTTTTTGTGTTTCCGCAAGGAAGCAAATGGGGCACTAGTAGTTGGCATTTAAATGTTTCATTGAAAATATAACATAGAGAGTTCCTAATTCATTTGCCTTCCAAATAATCAGCTAACAGCCATGATAAACAATATGATTGTCAAAAATTAAAGGATGGCAAAAAGTTGATGGATAAGTATCTATTTGGTCCAGTTTGAGACCAGAGTTTGCATAACCAGGCAAATAAATACAAATGTTAAAATTACAGCAGTGGCTAGCATGAAACAGAGGGTCTGGACATATTACTGCAACATTTTAAGACCATGAGGTGAGCAAGAGGATTTAGAGTACAAAACTAGATAGTACAACTTAAATATGGTGAAAATATATTAAACGAAAAAAAAAAATCAATTTGTGGAAGGACATTTTCTTTCATTTATTGGGGCTTGCAAAACTGCTGTGATTGTACCCCAGAAAATGTGACAATCGATATGATCAAAAAA